TGAGGATATTAACCTAAAAATTAATACTCCTAGCACAGTCTCATAAGTGCCTTGACAGAATTCACACATAGAACTATGAAAACCAAGATGATCAAAATTAAAGAGGATGAAAAGAAAAGGTTCCCTAAAAGAGATAGCAATTAAGGTTTTCTTTCTTTTCTTTTCTTTTTTTTTTTTTTTTTTTGAAGTGGAAAGAGGAATAGAGTATAAGATAGATTCTATGTGGTGGTAACAGCATCATCCCTTCAAGAACTATTAAAAGGCACTCGAAAATATTAAAATGATCCAAAGTATCATCAGGGTAGAGTCTGGAGAACTTGATTCCCAACTAAGTATTTTCTTTTGACTTAATAGCCATTTTTGAAAATAAACCCAACGTTGACCTATGATTCTAAGAGAAAGCTGGTGAAGCGACTTATCCTCGACACTGAAACAACATGCCCACAAACTTATTTCCTGATCACTCCCAACAAATATTTCAGTGCAGTGACTCTTTAAGCAAAATTAATGTGTCACTAGTTATAAAGTAGTATCATCTAAATCAATTCAGAGTAAAAATCTAAGGGACTGGCCTCTGGGCTCCCTACCCCTCTGCCTGGAAAGATTTGTGCAAACTTCCACTCTTCCTACCAGCTAGAATGCTTTACTGCTTGGTAAACAGGCAACGGCCTTCCCCTCTTCACCTAATTGCATCCCTTAAGATCAAATGTCATCTAGGTAACTTTTGCTTTAATTCCACTTGCAGGAGAAAAGATATAAGAAGCAAATACAAAATTAACTAGGGAGTAATAAAGTGGTTGTTTGCAAGCATGAAGAGACACAAAACCTCTCCACAATTCTGTGAACTGGAAGTATTACATTGGTTTGCTATAACCTCAGCTATTAAGGGGGTAATACCCCTATCTTCTCTATTTAGTTGCTGAATTTTTTTAAAATAATAGTTTCTATTAAAATAAGAGTAATTTTTTAGAAGTAACTCAATCTCTCAAAATAAAAACAAAAATAATGAACTATAAGCTCAAAAACATTAAAAAAGTAAATAAAACAAATATTCTGAGCTTAAAATGAACTTTAAAAACATGTTTTTAAAAGTGTGAAATGAGTTTTCTATTTTTCTTAATTACTTGCAGGAAATTTTTGCATGTTAGGCATTATATCCCAAATAAGAATCCACACCCATAAGCAGGTCTGACCTAGGTGAGCAATGATACTTTACAAAGTAGAAATGAACATAAAATATTTTTGAAAAGCTAACATTTGTGTTTATTAAAATTAAACAACAATCTATCTCCTGACATACAAGTAGGTGAGAAGTTAAGATATGTTGCAACTCCAACCTAATTTCACAAGTGTTGTTTTCATCTCCAGTCTTCAAAGGTTTGTCACATAAACAGTTTAATAAGGGCAAAATGGTGATAATATGTGTATCTTAAACTGATTTTGAAAAGGATGCATCACAGGTTGACACTTCCACATCTATACAACTTTATTAACAAGTAAAATACATGCCAGCATGTTTTATATATGGGCTAGGACATTCCTATGATAATGAATGGCACATTATCATCTAACAGTTGACCTTTATCGAATATATGCTAATATTTCATATGACTATTTGAAGAATTAAATAACTAATAAACAATAAATGTTAACATAACATTTAACAGCAGTTATAAATATAAAAGCCATTCAGTTTAGTATTTACCATAAGCTGGAATCATTCAAATACAACTATTAAAAAAAATACTATTCCTCTTCTACAGGCCAAATGGTCGATTAGAAAACACTGTGGCGATAATACTGGCTCTTGCCCTTACCCCAGGTTCCATCCCTCAAAGGACAGTGGAGCTAAAGCAGTCACTTCTTGGTACAGTCTACAATTATACATAGGATGATTACATAACTTATCCTCCAAATTAGAACACTTTTGAGAGTAAGACGTGACACTATTATGCTGAGAAAACAGGAATAACGAGGACTGTTTTGAGCAAACTAAGGATATGTTACCTTTGTTAAGTACAGTATCACATTCACTATCATTACTTTTTGCACTTCTTGAAATAGTACATACAAGATGAAAATAATTACATTAAATGAAGAGACTCCAAATTTTTCTTCAATTGGATATTTTGAACTCCACTTTTCCTGTTAGGAGAGATTTTACTGGAAATATTAGTGATTACTGTTTTAACAGGTAAAAATCTGCTAACAACTTCAAAGGCATGTCTAAAATGAAATATATTTTACAGACTCAAAATAATAGGCTAAAGATTAGTTTTTCTATTAAGCAGAGATATTTCATTTTAACTGAATGTAATGGGATCTGTATTTTAATCTAAATCTCCAAAATCTATCCCACATACACTATATAGAAAAGTGCCTGCTTTAAAATTCAGTTTATTGCATAAATACATAAAAATGGATTATCCTCGGCCGGGCGCGGTGGCTCAAGCCTGTAATCCCAGCACTTTGGGAGGCCGAGGCGGGTGGATCACGAGGTCAAGAGATCGAGACCAGCCTGGTCAACATAGTGAAACCCCATCTCTACTAAAAATACAAAAAAGTAGCTGGGCATGGTGGCACGTGCCTGTAATCCCAGCTACTCAGGAGGCTGAGGCAGGAGAATTGCCTGAACCCAGGAGACGGAGGTTGCGGTGAGCCGAGATCGCGCCATTGCACTCCAGCCTGGGTAACGAGAGCGAAACTCCGTCTCAAAAAAAAAAAAAAAAAAAAAAAAAGATTATCCTAGCCAAGACTAGCTTATTCATTTACAATAGAAATAATTTGAAAAATTTTTGCATTAACTTCCAAGCCCCAGTTCACACTCAAAAATGTTTTGATCCCCTAACAGGATTTTTGAGTTTTCAATCTTTAAGGCAGAGTGCAAAGACGATCAATTGTCCCCAAAACACAACAACAGCTGTTCAAGCTCACAGGAAATGAAGTACGCAGGATTTGATACGTCTGAAGAACATTAAGTTTTGGAAAATAACATTCTGATTCCCCTGCTTACATGATGAGATTTAAGGCTACCTTTGAATTATGCCAATTATAGAGAATTAAGATCAGTACGTACACTTGAACCTTATAGATTTGGGGGGGGAAAGTCAAAACAAAAAGCAACTTTTGATGTTGGATCAAAAGTAACATATCCATATTCAGAAAACAAGCATTTATACCATAAAAGCTAAAATGAAATTTTAATAAGTCAATGTTTGATAGCTAACCTTCTTAGTAATTTTAAATTACCATGTAGCAAAGGTTAATTTCATTTAAAAATTATTGAGAGAAAAAAGCACAGGTCTGTCTGTAAGAAACTAATATGCAAGAGATCCACCATGAATTTGAATACATTATTAGTACAGTTTAATTTTATTAATTTCCAAATTAGGCAACTAAACTAAATATTTTTCTTTACCCCATGCTATTGTTTTACTCCAAGGGGTGTAACACGGGTCCTTTAATCAACAATAAAATTCTATGCAGGAAAGTAAACTGAATGAGACAAAACAAAAAATAGACTATATTAGCAAAACAAAACTATGTTTTATTTATCAAAGACAATGAAAAAATTAGAAAATACAGAGAAATACAAAAGAGGTTATAAAGCATAATAAATTTTATTTTTTGGAAATGGAAAAATGTCCCTTAATAGTTAGATGTACCTTTTAGTAGTAACGACTAATAATAAATAAGAAGTCAATTTTATACGTTCAATATAGCTGTATTAAATAATTTTTAAGTTTAAAAGATAATATACCATCATTTTAAATGTTGGTATTCAAAATTAAAGATATAATCAAAAGGAAAAACAGATGAGACATAAAATAATTTGCAAGATGGGAAATATAGTAGCTTATGAATGTAAATTCAATTCCAGTTGTAATAATGGTTCTGCACTCTCACTACACACACAGAACCCACACCCCTATATGCCACAAACATATTTCCATAATGTGAAAATAAGTGTTTTGCATATCTCATTTCGGGATATGTTTTTTACAAGTTAATCCTAAAGTCATAAAGCAAGAAGTGATTAATAGCACAAGATTTTAAATGCTAAGCTTTAAAAACTAAACTCTAAAAAAATTATTACAATGACACTGAAAGATATTTTATTGGCTTTTTAAAAGACAAACACAAATGAGAATTATCTTATTTAGAAAATTAACTTTCAAAATTATCTTAAATGAAATAAATATAATTTCCAATACAATCTCTTCCTGCAAGAATCTCTAAGATGGGCAATCCTAAAAACCCAGCTTCTCATTTGAAAAACTAGTGTGCTCTGGCCAGGCGCGGTGGCTCACGCCTATAATCCCAGCACTTTGGGAGGCCGAGGTGGGTGGATCACGAGGTCAAAAGATCGAGACCATCCTAGTCAACATGGTGAAACCCCGTCTCTACTAAAAATACAAAAATTAGCTGGGCATGGTGGCGCAGCCTGTAGTCCCAGTTACTCGGGAGGCTGAGGCAGGAGAATTGCTTGAACCCAGGAGGCGGAGGTTGCGGTGAGCCGAAATCACACTATTGCACTCCAGCGTGGGTAACAAGAGCAAAACTCCATCTCAAAAAAAAACAAAAACTAGTTGTCCCTTAAAAAAATTTTTCTTTTTCTTATAAAGGACATTTGGTACATCCACATTTTCTTAAAATTTGTCCAAAAACAAATTCTATCTTTAACATTCAGGTTTCTAAGTGTGTGTGTGTGTGTGTGTGTGTGTGTGTATGCATGTATACATATACATATATATATTTAGTTCACTTAATTTAAAATTAATGAAAGATATCTGGACCCAATTTCTAAGATAACATTGCAGAAAGTAAGTTATGCACGGTTATTTACAGGAAGAGTTTTCCTAATAACGTAAATGTCATGTTCAAAAATCTGACAAATCCTTTCTAATAATCAGTACTGCAGATTTCAATAAATTTTATATAACAAAAGATGTTTCATGTGTAGAATTACCAGATGAATCTAAAAGCCAGAAACTAAATCATTTGACATGGTTAATAATCTCATTCTTATTATACTAAATGTCAGGTCAAAAGTCAATGGCATTTACATGCTGGAAGACTGTTTATCACTCACCTCTTTCAATTATATCAAACACTGATTAACCAAATGTGACTGGACTTAAGTGCTACAACTTTATGATTTCTTTCAAGTATATCCAAATCTCTTAAATGGGCACATATGCATATGTGCAAAACAAATGAAACATAGATACTCAAAGAATGAACAGAAGTGGCTTGTAAACATAAACCACCCTGCCATTCAATTTCGAAGCTCTGTGTTTTCTTCACTAATTTGTCTTCTGCTATTAGTAGTCTTCTATCCTATTAAAGTTGTAGGTTTACCGATGATCTGGAAGTTTCACATTGGTATAAGAAAGGAATGTCGAGTTGATGCAGTCTGGAGACAAAGAAAGAATCAGTCTTAAAATGTATTAAGTTGTGTTTATCTAAGTCATAGTATAATAAGACACATTTTATAGAAGAATTATATCAAGTATATAATATTCTTTTGATAAAGATAACAAAGTCTATATGTCAGAATATATTCTAAAGTGTAAAACTTCTCCAGCAGACCTACATCTAGAAAATATTTACACTGTATTTTAGACTCTTCAAAATGCATACAAGATAATCACATAAATTAGTAAAATGGCAAAATTACTTTGCCTTTTATCTTATCATTAATACTGACAAATTCTTAATGCCACTGTTTGCAAAGGTATTTTGCTTGTTAAAATTAAAAAGCAACATCTTTGGGAGTGGTTGGTGGAATCTTTAATGGAACACTTAAAATGATACTTTAACATAATCTAGAAGTACAAGTGTATTCATTGTACTCTAGAAGAAATAAGTAAATTATATAAGCTTATGTATAACATATAAATTATAAATAACATGTAAGCAACCAAATTACAAAGTATACAATTTATATTAGAAAAAAGATATTTTGTTTTAGTATACTTGAAACACTTTTTTCCTTGTAGTCCTACATTCAGAAGTTAAGTACTAGTAGACATTTTGGTTATGGAGTTAAAATGCTTTAAAACTTTACATTATTTATAGGCATAAAGGATATTGTACTTGCTTTAGAAAACAGAATACAGTATGAGATTACTTTATGTGAAGATACTCCCACTGCACAATAAATAAATACTATTACTGTATACACAGCCTCCAGAAACTCACTGGAAAACTAGTAAGACAACCTCTATTCATTTCTTCGTATTTCCACTTAATTCAAGTTGTAGCCTTCATTGCTGATAAAAACTAACACACATTAAGAAAACAATAACAGGCAAGGCGCGGTGGCTCAAGCCTGTAATCCCAGCACTTTGGGAGGCTGAGGCGGGTGGATCACGAGGCCAAAAGATCAAGACCATCCTGGTCAACATGGTGAAACCCTGTCTCTACTAAAAAATACAAAAAATTAGCTGGGCATGGTGGCACGTGCCTGTAATCCCAGCTACTCAGGAGGTTGAGGCAGGAGAATTGCCTGAACCTAGGAGGCGGAGGTTGCGGTGAGCCGAGATCGCACCATTGCACTCCAGCCTGGGTAACAAGAGCGAAACTCCGTCTCAAAAAAAAAAAAGAAAACAATAACGGAACTATTTTCTTCACATGACTTTTATTCCTTGATCCAGATTATTAAAAGGACTGCAAGACAAATTATTTTTCAATCACAGATTTTTTTTCTCCACCAGATTATCTAGGTGAATTTCACATTGTTTTATATAAAAATGCCCATTCTTTCAGTGTAAGTACTATGTCATATTTTGTTTTGTTTTCAAGCCTTCAAATTTTGTGCTGGTAATTACTTCACATACATTCTATGGTTAATCTTTATAGAGAAGTTTTAAAATTCTGATTTAAAATTTCAGTTCACTCATTATGTATTTTAAAAATTAAAATGTATGATATTCAATTTTAAAAATCTAAAAGTCATCTAAAAAGGTCTATGACATTAAATTTCAATAAGCTGATTGTTAGCAGTATTAAGAAATATTAAATATTCTAACTGAGTAAAAATCATGAATACACATTAGGCATTTAATATGTATCTGGTAAATCTGAATACACAAAGGGAACAGACAGAGTTCATAGATTAATATTTCTTACCTCTATAATAAGAAGAAATACCTTGTTCTATGAGCAGCTGCCATACTTTCAGACATGTTTCTGACTTTTAGATAATTAACAAATCCTCTGAAGAAAAGGAGCAGGCCTGAAAAAGTTGAAATAATATGGATATACTATGTTCTTATATAGAAAGGGGCAAGATAAATTTAAAATAGACAATTATAAACAAAATCATCTTGGCTTAAGGAATTTTATTTGTAGACTTCCATTCATTCTGCAATATATTTTACACTATAAGGATAAACTCTGTCACAAGGAAATCTGTTAAGCCTAGATGTACTAAAATTAAAGCAAATCTAGCTATAGAAATCCAGAATTACATAAAAACATACATTTAAGTGATTTTCTTAAATAGTAAAGTTACCTGATACACTTAAACTGATTCAACTCATAAAAACCCCATGCTACACTGTACCAATCTTTTCAATTAATGTAACTTAGTTCACTTAGTGAACTAAGATTTACTTATATAAAGTAAATGAAAAGAAAAAATATACATGTGGTTGCTAACAACTGTGGAGAAAAAAACAAGTCTGTATAGCAATATCAAGTGCCTATCATCTGTGAAATCTGTATTTAAAGATATGTGCGTTTTGTACATATTTTAATTATGAGTTCTTATTTTGAGGTAATAATAAAAAAATAATAAAAATTAAGATGAGTTAGAGAAGACGACTTGGAAGAGTCACTCTAGTGATTTACACTATTTGGGATACATCTTATATCTATCTCAGTTTTCTCCTTTGTAAAATAGTATTTAAAAATAACCACAGATATATTTAATGATTTAAAAAGCAATACCTGTGAAATTCTCTAAAGTTTCAAATGAAAAATAGAAGGTAAGTATAAAACATTACCATTATTAGTATAAGCCTTTGAAACACTTAAGCATATGACTCTTAGGGAAACATTTATTAACTCCAGTAAATTTTTAACATGGAAATTGGAGTGGGGGGGGGTCCAAAAACAAAAACAGAAGAATCTACTGTATATGTATAACTTTCCTCACCAGGAAGGAAAGGAGTTTGTGAATTTAAAATATGAAGTCCCAAACTAAATTTGTACCCCAACTAATCACTAAAAAAGAAGCACGTGTGCAGTAAATTGGAGAGGAAAGATAGAAGATACAAATGATGACTTAAATGGTATAAATTTCAGCTAAATCCAATCTAATCCGCTTCCCATATCCTAACTCCCTCTGTTTAGGACTCCCTCTGAATTCCACCCTCATGCTTTTCCAGATGCTGTTCAAAGACAATAATACTGTTATCCAAATGTAAAAATATTATTGAAAAATGTAAATCAACTTTTTGTGGGATTCCTTTCGTTGTCTCTAAAGCAGCTGTTTCTAACACACATTTTACTTTTCAGGCATTTTCTAAAAGAAGCCAGCCAGTTCATATCTAAAGACCAATCACTCAGTGACTACTGTTTCTCAGCATTCTACAAAGAGCTCAACATTCTTTTCAGCATATGTGAGAGCAACATTTTTCTCACTGATTACATTTTCACAATCCCCGAAATAAACAAACACTAGATTATGGCTCTGAAGTGAAACTGACATTGTCCTCTGTATTCTACTCTGCCCATAATTACCTCCCTAAGATTCCTACAGTCTCTAAATAATACACACACACACACACACACACACACACACACACACACACACACTCATTTAATATGCTTAAATACTTAATAAACTTTATAAACCTTTTCGTTTTTAGCTAAGAAACTCAATAAAGAACATAGCATTCCGGCAGTCAGAACACAACATAAAACTAGTAGCTTCACCTCCAGAGGCATCTCAGCAAAGTCACTACACTAAAATTATTTCACTACAGTTATTAAAGAATTAAGTGACCTTATCTAATAAAAAAAAAAAATTGTTTCCCAAAAGATCCTAAAGATCCAACAGTATGACTAAATAAAAACTCAGAGAGAAGACTGCCACCTACTGAAATGCTGTTATTTTCTGATGCACTTCTGAATGAAACATGGGCTTTCAGTTTTAACTAGAAACAAAATGTATTCCTTATGTCACAAATATATCTGAAATGTGAATTAAAGGTCTAATGTGATTTAAAGATTTAACTTAATTATCTTACATTGAAGGTAAAAAACAAAAGGGAACGAAAATTGAAAATCCATAAAATTCCATCAATATTAATAAAAAGACAAAAAGAAAAATAAAATTAAAAAATAAAAATAAAAAGACATGCTTTATAAGAAGACAACTCAACAGAAGTACTGGGATCATTAGGCATGAAGTTTTTCCTTATGCCTGGCTGATTAATGATTAATTCAAGGCACATTTCAAATACATAAAGAATGTTTTCATGATCCAAAAATAAGAGAATGGATAGAACCACCAAACTACCCAACTCTCAAATTCTCTAAGATCATGAAAAGAAGTTATTTGTGTATATTTTCTAGGACAAATGCTAAAGACAATTTTTTTTAATCACACTGTTATTTTAAAATTTTGTAACATTCTATTATCATCCCGCCTCTGACTCTTTACACTGATAGCCTCTGGCTTTTAAATCTAAGAACTCTATGGTGCTATGTAGAACAGAATTGTTTAAAAATTGAGATGCAAGTGTTTGAATATGAGAATTTTACAGTAGAAAAATAATTTCCACATAAATTACAACATAGTTTATTTACATCTTACAGTTTCTGGAAATATCAAAGTTAAACTAAATGTATTAAAAGTAAACTTACCAAGTACAAGAAATATCCACCAAAGCCAATACTGTCCATTGAAATATCCAGTAAAATAATCAGAAAACTACGGAGTGAACATAAATATATTAACAAAATTTGTACACCTGAATTTGAAAATCATACATTATCTTCAGTTTCAGAACGATTTACCTCAAATAATCTTTAACACTTAAAAATAGCACAAAGGAAAAATTAAAATACTTAATGACATATACATATATGAATTATTTGAGAAAAAAATCATCTCATGCAATAGTAAAAAAAACTTACACAAAATACTTTAGAAACAAAAAAGTTTCAAACTGCCCGCAAGAAATAAAAATAAATGCTGTATGTCTGAATCACACATTTTCTCATTAAAAAGTTCACATCAGTTCTTTCTTCATAATCTCTCAAAACCACAAATACCATCCCAAACATACTACAGCAACTCACTGCTTCAGATATTAACACCAAAAGCCACATTAGTTTAATCTTATCAGATGGGGATGTTCTACTGACCTCCAAAAAGAAGAGCTTTTGACCTTCTGCACACCCCCTACTGTTAATCACTGCCAAAAATTCTAGGTGCATAAAGACCTCCAACTTATTAGAGTCTTTATTTTCAAACTAGATGCTCTAGCATTCAGTTCCCAACAGTGAACTGAGAACAGCTAAATGAACCTTAAAGTGGCATTTCAACAGTTCCTCTTAGTGGCCATGGTAGACAGTTTTACATTCTCTGTGGTGTAAGAATATGAACAGGCAGATGGAAGGCAGAGTTTGATGATACTGGACACAGGTATCTTTTCCTTGATTAGACTCTAGACATCACAGTTCATTAATTTTAAAAGGGTTTTTTTTTTTTTAATCAATCTAATTTTCTTCAGTTATTTCAGATAACTTTAGCACCTAAAACAGTGCCTCAAATGATTACTTTTTAAAAAGTGTCTAATATAACCTACTCTAAAACTACTAAAAATTAGCTTGTGTTTACTCACCCTGTTTCCACTGTTCTGCAAACTGAATCTGATGTAACTAAAACTGATTTAGTTAAATGCAGACTTGTTCTCAAATCTGATATTAATTAAAAGTGTTTGTACCTTTATATGTAAAGGTTTCCAATTATTTGTTGGCAATTTTCATATAAGCTTAAAAATCCTAGACTTTGGCAATAATAAAAAATGCTTACAAATTGTAAATAATGTTATCATTTAGGAAGCATATTAAATAAAGATTACCTAAGTCTGTATAGCCTTTTAAGTATTTTCTCAGGAAGTGTTTTCAATTAATAAACCATTTATTAATTTACAGTAATTTCAGAGATTTAAAATTTCAAAGTACTACTAAACACACAAATCCCACATATACCTACATCTTTAAAATATGTACAATGAAGGAGGGACTTAAAATTGAAAAGATACAGCTTATACAAGACTGCACTATACTATTTTTTATTCAGGTGATTAGCAATTAGAAATCAAACATTTTCATACAGGTCTTAAAGGCTATAAGAACAAAAAAAGAATAAAGAACCAAAGCAATACATTTTAAATTTCCATGTGTCACCCAGTAACAGGCAACCTGAAAATCAAGAAAAGAGTCATTCATCACCAAAAATATTTACTCCCAAGTGAAAAATATAATTACCTTCACCCTGATGTCAAAGAGAAGGATTCGCTATGTAGAAAGGATAAAGAAAGCTTTTGGACTCATTACTATGTTAACAAAAATGTTTTAAAATAGTAAAATCATAAGCCTAAGCTAATTTTTTTTAAGTAAGTAAATCAATCATGTTGATTGGCCAATCAAAGGCTATCGAAATCCAATTTTGGAAAATAAATTAACGAACATTAAGAATTCATCTGATTTTATTGTAATAATATAACACCAGTATTTCATTGTTTACATCCTAGCTACTTTCAAAATGTATATGATTCATTTTTAATGAAACATGTATGTATTTCTAACCAAACAATAAAAACCTTAGAAGTAGTATCAAAAGCCTAGGCTAAAGATATTTACACAAAATCCAAGGTTCGTGGCAGCTCAGAAACAAAATGGAGAGCAGCAGTATGATTTATAAATTACTTATTATCTAATGAAAGGAAACACCAGGTTTTTAGGAGAAAACTTTTCTCTCAGCACTAAACTCTAAGAGAAATGTATTACTTGGAACATTATAATAAAAGTCAAAATACAGTGTAACCGAGGCAGTACAGAAGTAGGAAAACAGGCAATGAATTGAGACCAACATAGATTTTAATTCACATTAATTCACATTAAAAACTGTGGGATCTTGTGCAAATGTTTAGACTCTTTTTATTCTTAGTTTCATCACCAATAAAATGTCTAGATCATGGCCAGCATCAGAGATACAGATAAAGTATGAAAATTTGTGGTTTGTAACAAATTATGCCTGGCACACACTAAGGGGTAAATGAATGGCAGTTATTGTTATTTTATACAAAAGATTTTTTTTGTTTTTTGTTTTTTTTTTTGAGACGGAGTTTCGCTCTTGTTGCCCAGGCTGGAGTGCAATGGCGCGATCTCAGCTCACAGCAACCTCTGCCTCCTGGGTTCAGGCAATTCTCCTGCCTCAGCCTCCTGAGTAGTTCGGATTACAGGCACGTGCCACCATGCCCAGCTAATTTTTTGTATTTTTAGTAGAGGCGGGGTTTCATCATGTTGACCAGGATGGTCTCGATCTCTTGACCTCGTGATCCACCCGCCTCGGCCTCCCAAAGTGCTGGGATTACAGGCTTGAGCCACCGCGCCCAGCCTACAAAAGATTTTTTAAAATCCTTGTAACACTTCTTGATACACACTAAAGGCCTGACATAAACTCTAACTCAGTAAAAGTATTTTAAGGGAAACTAAACCGTCCTGGTGATCAAACTTGATGCTAGTATACACCTTACAAACTGTAAGAAACTCCAGTCTTTGAATTTAAGTTCGTCTTACCACATCAACTAGAGGTGATAACTAGATAGTCTAATCCCTTCTCAACGTGAGGTTCCTATGAGAAAATTAAGCTGTAATACTCTAAGGGCATAAGTTACATAGGATGTATTAACTTCTTTTTTATATATCTAGAATGACACTAGCAATTTACTAACTTTGGGAAAATTGAGAAAATAGTCCTCATATCATTTTCTGTGTTCTGTGATTTAGATGAGAAATCTTATTTGAATAACAGTGCCTAATTCTATTAGTATCATAACTAACACTGGACTTATCCAGATCTAACTCTTGAGGTTTCTTAACACTAATTTCTGCAATGGAAGGGATTGTGTCATTATCTTTTTATGTTCCGTAACACTTAATAGATTTATACTTGTGTTAGGAACCCACTGTACATTTTTTACAATAAAATTAAAACAACAAATTGCCAGGGGATAGTTTGTATGGTGGCTCAAATTTTAATTATCTTAGAAGAAATCAGTCCATAGGTCCCAACCAAGAATTAATTGATTAATAACCAAAACCTATGGCTCTGCTAAGATTACTGAAACCCTGGGAAGCTATAAAATAAGTTTTAAACTAATGAAGAAACACATTATATCTATAAGCATTAACATTTTCATAATAGGTACTTTTAAATCAACTTAATAATATAAATATATTATCAAAGTGTCTGAAAACTTAAGAGAAACTAATGTATTTGATCTATGATTCTACTAAAAATTTTAGGAGGATTTAGCTCATTCAATTAGAAATGAATGTTTAAATGTAGAATGTATGTATTTTAAGTTACTAATTGTATAACAGCATTTAAAATATGTAGGTAACTTTTCAGAAGACTTATTAAAACAATAAATAAGGCTACTCTTGATCATTCTTCTAGATCTTATTGCAAAAAAAAAAAAAAAAAGAAAAAAAGAAACTAGGAAGAAACATTTATAAAAAGAAGTCAAAAGAGGCCTTCAAAAGGCAAAGGTAAATTAATAACAGTAATGCCTATGCAATTTTCACAGAAAACTATTTTGGGACTAGAGAAGTTGTTAAGATGGGGAAAAGAAAAGGAGTTATCGTTGTCTCCCTACACACTATCTTGTAAATTATAGGAAGGCAGAGGTTAATTTCAGGGAACAGGAAAACAAGTAAGGCTTAGTAGAAGCATAAGGGAAAAGAGCTCTAATAACCACTTCATAGGCCTTTACTTTTGAGCTCTCAATATTTTCAAAAGAAAGGAGAGTGAGAAGATATTTAAGTTCATGATAATGTGACTAAATGAAAGATTTTTATGTTTTAACTGATTTTAGGCATACCTGCACTATATTACAATAATAGCAGCCATGATTTACTGAGCACATATATTTGTGCAGTAACTGGGTAAGGTATTTTAATTACATTATTTTCATACCTCATAAAAATCCTGCAAGGCAGCTATCATCAGCCTATTATGAAGAAACTAATGCTTAGAACAATTAAGTAACTTAAAGTTAAAAGACATACAAAAAAAGATGAGATACAAACTTAAATTTTTCTGATTTCAAGGTTCTTTCCACTATAATAACTTCTCATATGATGAAGTTATAAAGTGTTCATACCACAGAGATCACTATAATGATTAAGCATAGGATTTAAGAATAAGCCTTGAAATAACTGAATTCATGAAAATAAAGTGACCATTTATGAACCACATAGAAAATTTCATACGTCTCATTTTAGAGATGAAAGAGATACATGTTAACAAAACACTCACCCTGACAATAAGGATCCATTTGATCAAGGAAAGGCCAAATCCGCAGATAGCACCATACCGTCCAGCTATGGTATTGGTGATACAGAAGGATAAACAAAATCCAAGCCAGTTGAAAATAAACGCCACTAAAAGCAACAGAAACGGTTATCTTACAAACCACAATTTGGAAACAAATTAACATAGACATATTAATAATATTTCACAGCTCAATGTAAACGGCAGCTCCCTTTTTTTTAACTCTGCCAATTAAGCCTTCTTTTTGGACTATAGCCTACTTTTTGCAAATGGGTTATTTGCTATACAGTACATCAACAAATGAGTAAGCTTGGTTTCTTGTCTCTTTGGCCAACAGAAATCCATCCCTGGAAGCTTATCATTAATGGTTGAAACTGCAGTTTTAAACTAGCTAAAAACCAGATCACAATGTAGCTCATGTGTGGTTCCACCCAAGAAGTCCAGCCTAAGCAATCAGCTAACAAAACTGGCTTTTAAAAAAAACGTAAAGCAGTCTGGCCGAGGTGGCTCATGCCAGTAATCCCAGCACTTTGGAAGGCCGAGGCAGGTGGATCAGGTAAGGTCAGGAGTTGGAGACCAATCTGGCCAACATGAAACCCTGTCTCTACTAAAAATATAAAAATTAGTCGAGTGTGGTGTCAAGTGCCTATAATCCCAGCTACTCAGGAGGCTGAGGCAGGAGAATTGTTTGATCCTGGGAGGCAGAGGTTGCAGTGAGCCGCGATCTGCACTCCAGCCTGGGTGACAGAGCAAAATTCCAGCTCAATTTAAAAAAAAAAAACAAAAAAAAACAAAAAAACAAAGAAAAGAAAAAGCAAAACAATAAAATTCAATGCTTCACAAATATTTTATGGGTTTCTTCAGGTATAGTTACAATTCTTAGATGCTCCTTACAATTCTTAGATGCTCCTTTTCTGGATTTACTTATGCTATGTAATGTCATCTAAAAGCTATGTAAAAAACAGCTTTTCATGGGCAGATTAAGTCATCACTGTTTTGTTTTCCAAGATGTGTAGTGTCCAGATAACCCCTTTAAAAACTGTAACTTTTTGACTACTATATGGTAGGTGCTCAGAAGAATGAACTGAATAAAGATGCTTAATGTTATGAATTGTTAATAAAAATTGAACCACAATAAGATACCAACAACAAACTATTAGAATGTCTAAAATTAAAAAAAAAAAAAAAATCAACACCAAATACTGGCAAGGACACAGAGCAACAGGAACTCCCATTCATTGCTGGTGGGAATGCAAAATAGTACAGACACTTTGAAAGACAGTTTGGGAATTTCTTACAAATCAGAATTTGCATTTCAAAAACACTCTTCTAATTCTTTTAAAGTTACAAATACCTTCTCTTTATGTTTCCCTCAAGTCTAAAATGGGAATAATGCAGGTGATTACTCATTACCATGGCATGCTGATGTTCAGATTCACACATGATAAAATTGCTAAACCTCAGAAGAAAAGTTTTCTTAACAGAGCCAAATAAGAGCCTATTACACGTTAAAGTACTAAAGTTTAAGGTCATTTCCGTAGACTATCAATTATCTGTAAACTAAATTTTCACTGTTAGTGTTTGGCAAATAACCAAATTCTGTTCCATTCTCTTAGAAAATTTATTAAAAATAAGATCAGAGATAAGCATATAAAGCATGTATCTGAGACATTTTATGGTAACACTTTCAAAGGATGTAAGAAGCAAAAACATTATTACAAACATTTCTTCCTTCACATTTTCTGAACAAGAATATGCAATTAACTTACCAAATTTAAGTGTAAACTTTTTTTAGGGTTATGTGAAGTAAAACATTGAAAACAAAGGAAAGAATTAAACAACCAAAAGGTTTTAATTGAAACAGTCTTATTGATATTCACTATAATTTTACTTGTGCAAGTTATATAACCTCGAAATGCTTAAGTTATAAATAAACCACATTAAAAATAAAATCTATTTCTAGACCTTCTTATCCACAGTAGCTATTAGATATTTAAAATGCATGGAAAATACAGCAACTTGCAGTATGAAAAACAGCCACTAGATGGTAGTGATGACAAACAAATCTATGCTTATCAAGCAAATAAACTCCAGGCCAATAGCCTACCAGGAAAAAAAAAAAAATCAGTTAATAGAGGTAATAATATAAATTTACTGTTATAATATTGGTACAATATTTATAAAACAGGAAGCATTATATATATGAGTTGTGGAAACAAGTAAAAATTAAGTAAAATAATTTATATTAAATATAAATATATGCATTTACATCATATTAATATACTATCACTGGCTAATAAAGTCATCCAGTGTGTCTCAGTTACCATGCATTTATAATACATCAGTGCAAGTCCTTCATATCTAAAAAATAAAAATAAAAAGAAGATACCGGTGGTAACTGAAATAACAAAATGGAGAAATAAAGAGTTCTGAGTTGGATAATTAAAAGGTGTCAAATAACATGTTTTTATACCCAAGAAACAGGTGTTTATACTAAAAATAGTACAATATATTTACATCCTTTCTTTTCTAATTCAAGTTTCTTAAAAGGTATAATAACTATGAAAGCAATTAATGTTTAAGCTATTTTTTTTGTAAACAAACTTTGTGGGAAGTTTTTTATTCAAATGTTATTAATATATAGAATTACCAGTTAAACCAAAATTAAGATAAAAACCAAGGTTCACAAGACTAATATTACAAAACAGCACTCATTTGTAACCAGTGTTTAATTCCTTTTTTATTATACCTAACATATCTAACTAGAAAATCAATTTAAGATTTAAATATTGCATATACTTAGCTGGTTGACAACCTGAATATTGTAATTAGTAAATCTGAAGAGCTGCCTGCCCTCCTCCCTCATCTCCCTCCCACTCTTTTCTTCAGCAGATGAAAATAGAAAGGAATCAAGAAACCATTTCAAAATTGAAGACGAGGTTTACATGAACTTCCAGACTTAAAAGTGACAACTCATGAAGTTAGTATTTTCTGTTTTAAAGCTGAATGTGGCACTTTAAAAAGTTATTTCTCAGTTTTATGATCATAATAAAGCTTAGAAGTAAACTGAATTAAATCAGCATTCTATCTAAGAATGAAAGCTTGATCACTTAACCAGGTTGAGAACAGAAATTAACTATATAATAGAGTAATAAACTTACTTAAATGAATATTGGATTTCTACCACTGGCTTTAGTAATTTAAACAGTTTACTGGGCATCTTATTATTTAATGAGTTTACTATGCCAATCCTTGTATTAGGAATTGAGATAATGAAGAGTATGACACATTCTTCCCTCAACAAGATTCAATTTACTTTATAAGTTAAATACTAAGAATTCTGCAAGATGTGAAAATGTCACTTAAGTTTCTGATCTCTAACTTCTTACCATTCCCGCAAATAAGACTACACTTTCATAACCATCTGTCTCAAGTGACACTGTTCCGGTTGCCCAAAATATCCCTTTTTCCAATCCTTCTTCTAGCTTAAGGACACTCAAATGGAAATCCTCTGCCCCAAAAGCAGAATTTGTATTTTCATTCTATATGCTCCTACGGAGCTGAATGGGCACCAACATAGCAAGCATTTCTCTTTAAAATTCTGAAATAGCTTAAATATGCTTATATATATACTTTTACATGTCAGCATCTTCATAATGGCTGCAATGCATAATTATCCAGCAAGAGTTTAGTAAGTTCTAGGATTCATATTTAAACATATGATCACAGTATCCATTAGTCCAATATCAGAAACCATTTACATTTTAAGCAAGGTAGACACACGCTAACAATATTTGCTTGTCCTCACCATGCTACTTTAATACACATACAGCCAATACATGCAAAAACAAAAATAAAATAGTTTGGGAAGACTACTTACTGAAAAATGCCAGCATGAAAATGCCATCATTCCCCACTCTGAGCTGGTCTGCATCACTGAAGTCATCTCTTGGTGGACACTCTTCCTCCTGAATCTGTAAAACATGTTACATTGGAATAGCTCACTAAAAATTACAACTTTATCATCTTAAATGTAAGTAAAGGAACTTCAACAAAATCTGATGTTCTCAATTTGTTATATAGACAAATGAAATAAGTACAATGTCTGGTATAGAGTAAGTTATCAATAAGTGTTATTAGCAAGTACTACTTCATGGTTACAATTAAAAAGAGTAACGTTAAAGATAAACAAAAAAGATAAAAGATTAGTAACATCAAACTCAAAAATGGTATAAGAAGATACATGTGACAGTGCTGCATTAGTAATGACTGGGAAATAAGAACTTTCACAATCACTGCTGGAGTATAAACTAGTACCATTTCTATAGCTGGCAATTTTGCAATAATTATCAAAAATAAACTTTAAGATTTAATGATTGCCATGCTTGGTTTCGGTCTTCCATGGGGCTTGTATCCCCTTTTGTTGGCCAATTTCTCTCCTTTGGAACCAGAATATTTACCCAATGCCTACAGCCCCATTTTATCTTAGAAATAATTAACTGTTTTTTTATTTTATAGGCTCATAGGTAGAAGGGATTTGCCTTGTCTCAGATGCGACTTTGGATTATTGACTTTTGAGTTAATGCTGGAATGAGTTAAGATTCTGGGGGACTGCTGGGAAGGCATGATTGTATTTTGAAATGTGAGAAGGACATGAGATCTGGGATGGGCCAGGGACAGAATGATATGTTTTGATCTGTGTCCCCATCCAAATCTTATGTTCAACTGTAATCCTCAATAGTCAGAGGCTGGGCCTGGTAGGAGGTAGGTAATTGGATCATGGGGGTGGTTTCTAATGGTTTAACATCATTCCCCTGTTCTCATAATAATAAGTGAGTGACTGTTTTTTGTGAAATCTGGTTAAAAGTGTATGGCATGACCCCTCCAATCTCTCTCTTCTTCCTGTAAAATGTGCCTTCCATGCCCTATAAAATGTGCCTGCTTCCCCTTCACCTTCCGCCACAATTGTAAGTTTCCTGAGGCCTCCTCAGAAGCTGCTATGCTTCCTGTACAGCCTGCAGAACTGTGGGTTAATTAAACTTCTTTTCTTTATAAATTACCCAGTCTTGGGTATTTCATTACAGCAGTGTGAAAATGGACTAATACCATACATCACCTCAGGTGAGTGTGAATAACTCAATTTTGAGAGACAGTCTGAGAAGCTAGGGCTAGGCTCAAGATCACATAATTAGGAGGGTCAAAGTAGTACTTGAATCCAGGACACTATGTTCTTTCCATACAATCATGTATGGTAGTCTCACTAAGCATACTGCTATCCTGAAATTTAAAAACTTTCAAAACCATTTTATATTGTTTATTATTTGGGCACAAAGATTCCTTAAATTGTGCAGTCATACATCATAGGTAAACTTTATACACTAAATTTAATAACTGGCCATGACTATAATATTTATAAAATTTTATATAATTTCAAATTAGTTCAAGAAATAAGCATTAAAGCAGAGTAAGAACAAAAAACTATCACTGTGATTGCAAAAATATATTTCATACTGTGTATTTTAAAACATCAGTCCATTCCAGGCATGGTGGCTCACACCTGTAAATCCCAGCACACTGGGAGGCCGAGGTGGGCGGATCACTTGAGGTCAGGAGTTTGAGACTAGCCTGGCCAACAAGGTGAAACCCCATGTCTACTAAAAATACAAAAAAAATTAAACAGGCATGGTAGCATGCTCCTGTAGTCCCAGCTACTCAGGAAGCTGAGGCAGGAGAACAGTTTGAACTAGGGAGGGCAACGTTTGCACTGAGTCGAGATAGCACCACTGCATTCCAGCCTGGGCAACAGAGTGAGACTCTGCCTCGATTTAAAAAAAAAAAAAATCAGTACAGAGATTTTATCAAAAGTCCGTTTGAACTGAGTCGAGATAACACCACTGCATTCCAGCCTGAGAAACAGAGTGAGACTCTGCCTCAATTAAAAAAAAAAAAAAAATTGATACAGAGATTTTATCAAAAGTCATCATTTAGAGAAAAAAAAAAATTAAGACAAGATCTCACTCTGTCACCCAGGCTGGAGCGCAGTGGCACAATCAAGGCTCACTGCAGTCTTGATCTGGGATCACTACACCCTCAATCTATTGGGCTCAAGTGATCCTCCCACTTCAGCCTTCCAAGTAGCTGGAACTACAGGGGTGCACCACCACATCCTGCTGATTTTATTTTTTAAGCAGAAATAAGTTTTCGCTGTGTTGCCCAGGCTGGTCTCAAACTCCTGAGCTCAAGCAATCTGCCTGCCTCAGCCTCCCAAAGGGCTGAGACTACAGGAGTGAGCCACAGCAATATGCCCAAAGATGACTTTTATAATTTTAACAACGGAAAAAAAACCACACACAGACATTTGGAAATACTCTTAATTGTTCACTAGAGTGGAATAGCCACGAAGTTTCAATAGCATATTGATTCCAGGGAATTTACTCAACTATTAAATAACAGGAAAATATTTATATAAGATGTTAAAAAAATAGTATCTAGGCAATAATCTCAACTACATTAAACATTAATTTGTAAATCCTAAAACTGGTAAAGACATTGAAATATTTTTAAACAGCTGTAATAGAGAACCTATATAATTTTCTTCTTCCTATTTTCCCACATTGGCTAATACAAAGAAAGCATTCCTTAACTTAATCAACTGTCATTTACTAAAAAACAAAAATGTGCCTGATAATAACTAGGTACTGGGAATGTAAATGCAAGATCTCTGTCCTGGAGTTGCTCACAATTTATCCAGTGCTAGTTCTAATGTCAAAAGACAAGTTACTGCAACAATTTAAAATAAGTTACAAAAAAAAGAACCCTACCCATTATAAGATTATGAAATGAGCCTACCTCACGAACAAGCCATGTTCTAAACATTTTATAAAATTAATGGTTTGGAATTTGCATTTTTCATAGAAATATTAAAAATGAGTTGTCATTTTCAGAAATCTACTTAACCATTCCATCATATAGAGGCAATTCTACACATTAGAAATAGGAAATAGTAAAAAACAGTAGTTTTAAAGTCTCTCGACTATCTATATTGTCCCAATGAGACTTGATACAGGAAATAAGCTTTCAACTCACCCAGCTGAGACTCGTTTACAACTGAATGTACTCAAATGCTAATCAGATGAGAGTATTTTTTCAATTTTTAAATTGTTTGTAATTGACGAAAACTGCATATATCTATGATGTACAACAACGTTTTAAAATGTGTATACATTGTAGAGTGGCTAAATTGAGCTAATTAGCATGTACAGTACGTCACATATCATACTTTTTTTTTGTGGCAAGAACATTTAAAAATCTACTCTCCTAGCAATTGTCAAGCATAGACCAGTTTTTTATCTTAATCAGGTATAGAGACTCATATGCAAACATTCATACTTTGCACAAAGAGGGTGCTGAAGCACTGGGTTAGGAAGCACTGGTAAATTTAAAAGATTTTTTAGAAGACCTAAGTTAGTCTCTTGTATACAATTCTATTAATACTTTGCTGACTATGAAAGTTTCCACAATGCTGATAAGCTGGGGTTACAATGATATCAGAAGCAAATAAAAACAGATTAACTTTTCTTTACAGACATGTTCCAATTCCAGCTGAGAATTGCTACTACTTTCTAAAACAGGGTGCTGGAAATGATGACAATGAGGGAATGGAACAGTAACACTTCAGACTTTTCTCTCCAAAAGGGGTAAAATCGACCTTCTTCAAAGCACACATAGCAAGACTTAATGCTTCCTACGTTGCCTTTAGAATTCTATCCTATTGTATGCAAGTTAGGGCAGTAAAGGATCTAAGGTCCATAATACTCTTTAAGGATCTTTGCCATTGTCAAGGTCTCCAGAGAACCCCTGAGAAAAGGAGTTATTAGGACTTTCATAGATAGAGAGGAATCTACTTCTCTGAGAGATATGAATGTGCATTACAAATATAAGTGCTCTAAGTAACCTAGAACTGATTTAGACAGAAAATCCCTATTTAGATCTATCTTCCTTCTCTAAGATGTTCCCCTCACAGCAACAAAAATCCTTATTGACTCAGTTATATTATGCCACTGTGTTGAGACTTACTTTCCTCCTCTGTGAGGAAAAAGGCATAAAAAACAAATTCAGTTTTCTGTCTTTACCTATCTTCATAACTGTGTCCAAAGCTATTTATGATGACGTTTAACCCTGTGTGTGCTAGAGGAGGGTAGTGGGAGCAGGCATAAAAAGTGTGGTTGCTGATGAAAAAAATACATCCAGGGCACACGCTCATCTCTCAGAGGAGCAGCTCACTGGGCTCTGACCTCATAGCAGCTAGAGGAGAATGACATACATGGAAGCACATCTCTCTCCCTTGACTCCTTACCTAATTCTAGCTTTCCTGGGTAAATTGATTTTTTCATCTTTTTTCCTGAACAAAATGGGATGAATCCAGGGATCTGAAATGACATCTCTCAAGTCTGAAGCAGGAAAAAAAAAAAATGCAAAAAATTCTAGCCCTCCTTGCAGCCACACTAAAATGTAAATAATTTCTGCCTCTTACCTGGCTGCAGAATAGCAGATGTGTATCTCACTGATCCTCCATTACTGAGACAGCCACTCCTTTTACCAGAACAAAAAATAATTTACATATATCTAGAATATGTTACTTTTTAAATAACATATTCTACTGTAGAATTTTGGAATGATGAGCAAGCATTCTGTCTTCCTCATCTTCCTTTATTCTATTACTAAGAAAGGAAGATGGGGAAGACAGAATGCTTGATCATCATTCCAAAATTCTAGAGTAGAATATGTTACTTAAAAAAGCGGCTGACAAAAATAATTTGAAGGCCTTGTAACATTTCTGTGTTTTTCAGCTACCTTGAGTTCACTAAACTGACTATGCTAATATAGAAAACATGAATAGAAAAAAAAGATGATTCACAATTAAAATGATAGACCATGGAATTCAAACTATGTAAGAAAAAGAGAAATAAGTACATGGACAGCAAAGACGTCAATGAACTTGAGGTCCAGGCAAAGAGAAGAACTGTCCAAGTGGTGGTAACCAGAGTGAGTGAGTTAGGGTGGGAGGTGAACGCTAGCACATGAGGTGTCTGAAATCAAAACTTAGGAAGTGATAAGTGAAGAAGAGCAACAGAAAAGAGGAAGTCAAGAGATGGAGAAGGTGAATTTAACTAGGAAAATGCCAATTTCAACAAAAATGACACCACCACAACAAAAATGGCAACAGTAGAACAAATACCTTTCAACAACACAAGGGTTAGGGATACCGACCCACCCCCCATGCAGTAGAAAACTTGAGTATAACGCTGCCTTCTCCAAAACTTAACTACTCACAGCCTACTGTTAACTAGAAGCCTTACTGATAACATAAACAGTCAATAACACATAAACTAGTATCTACATATATTTTATACATTCATGACATGCCTTTTCTTAATTTTTTCGATACTTCTATACTACACAATTCGTTGCAAGTTTTTTTCAAATTGCTGCAGATCTCCAAAATACTTTTCCAATATATTAATTTAAAATAATCTGCATACAAATAGACCTGTGAAGTTCAAACCCATGATGTTCGGAAAAAAGTCTACATACATACTTATACACAGAGCTATTTTTAGCATTACTAGATGTACATATCAATTAACAAAAATAATTTTATCAAAAGAAATGATGAAATTTTCTTACTCTTTGAGATGTTTCTGCTGCTGCAGCTGCCATTGCAGCAGCTTTAGCCTTCTCAGCTTCATCGTATGTAGGAAGAGAGGTAGCAACACTATAGGGAGGTGGCACAGGATAAAACTCTCCATAAACTTCTGTATCTGTAGAAAGAATTCAAAAAGAATAACCAGCAAACACTATTTAATTTTGTAGCCATAGCCATAACTTAATCATTTACAATACCACTAATACATGACTACTATTGCTATTATATAGTACTATGTTATAAGCTATAAAATATATAAATATTATAATCATACATCTTAGTTTAGTCCAAATTTATTATAAAGAGAAAGAATGGATAAATACCATTTAAAGGCTAACACACTAAACAAGAACCTCCAGAATGAGATTCTGAAAAGGAGAGCCAGACAAGAGAAGTAAGAATCTCACAATACATGAGCATCCTGTATGTTCTTAGCAGTATGCACAAAGAACTTAGTTTACTTGCCCACTATCTCACAGCCAAAAAAGCAAAAAGAAAAAGTCAAGAATCATAACAATAACAAACATTTACAAAGTACAACCATTTCATATACCACTTCTATATACACTGATCTTAGAATCTCTGAGGTTCAGAAAAGTTAAGTGACTTACACAATACTAAACATTAAGTGGCAGATATAGGGAGCTCCTGACCGTAAATACTTTGCTCTGATAACATATAAGGGGTAATTGTTTTACACAGGTTGATTTTGGCAATCTCTTAAGCAAACTCAGTATTTTCCTTTGCTAAAAGATAGAAGTTTCACCTTTTTTCACTCTTGTCCCTTTCTCTTTCCATTTTTCCTTTATCCATTTAGTTCTTTAGATTTTCTTTTATGAAGTATTTCACTCCCAAATTTTTGAAATATAATCTCCAAAAATACATTACAATAGAAGATACAGACTGCTTATTTTAAAAATAAAACCACATCACTTATTACAACATAAGTAGTAAAGTAAAATGCTACAGGTCAATCAGCTCATTAGACTTATGCTAGAGTCACTGACATGGAAAAAAAAAAAGGTAGATTCTAAAAGTAGCATGCATCATGTTGTTTGACATCACTTTTGTATCTTCCTCCATTATAACTACAGTAGTTTCATCTATCTAGTTTTATATACTTTGCTTTCATGCATTTTGCAAATACTGTTTTTCTTACAAACTGAAGGTTTGCGGCAATTCTGCATTGAGCAAGTATATCAGCACCATTTTTCCAAGAGCATGTGCTTACTCTGTGTGTCTGTCATATTTTGGTACTTCTAGCAATATTTCAAATGTTTCCAGTACTATTATGATGTCTTTTATGGTGATCTGTGGTCAGTGATCATTGATGTCACTATTGTAGTTGTTTTGGGGCACCACAAACCATGCCCATAGAACATAAATGTTGTGTATGTTTTGTCACACGTCTCTCACTCTAATTCAAAACCTTAGAAACAAGCCTAGCAAGGATGGCATATCAAAAGCCAAGATACACCAAAAGCCAGACCTCTCACCCCAAACAGCCAAGTTATGAATGCAAAGGAAAAGTTGCTGAAGAAAAATAAAAGTGCTACTGCAGTGAACACACAAGTAATAAGAAAAGGAAACTACTTTTTTGCTGATATGGAGGAAGTTCTAGTTCCAGTTAGAAGATCAAACCAGCCACAACATTCCCATATGCCAAAGCCTGGTCCAGAGCAAGGTGCTGACTCTCTTCAATTCTATGAAGACTGAGAGAAGACAGGAAGGTACAGAAGAAAAGTTGGAAGCTGGGAGAGGTTGGTTTGTTTATGTGGTTTAATCAAAGAAGCCATCTTCATAAAAGTGCAATATGAAGCAGCAAGTGCTGACACAGAAGCTGCAGCAAATTATGCAGAAGATCTAGCGAAGATCATTGACAAAGGTGGCTACATTAAACAACATATTTTCAATGTAGATGACACAGCTTTCAACTGGAAGATGCCTTCTAGGACTTTCAGAGCTAGAGAAGAGTCAATTCCTGGTTTCAAAGCTTCAAAGGGCAGGCTGACTCTCTTGCAAGGAGTAATTCAGCTGGGAACTTTAAGTTGAAGCCAATGCTCTTTTACCATTCTGAGGATCATAGAGCACTTAAGAATTATGCCAAGTCTACTCTGTGCTCTGTAAATGGAACAACAAAGCCTGATGACAGCACATCTGTTTACAGCATGGTTTACTGAATATTTTAAGACCACTGTTGAAAGCTCAGAAAAAAAAGAAAAAGATGTCAAAATATTACTGCTCACTGACAATGCACCTGGTCACTCAAGACCTCCGAAAGACATACAAGAAGATTAATGTTGTTTTCATGCCAACTAACACAACATCCATTCTGTGGCCCATGGATCAAGGGGTCATTCTGACTTTCAAGTCTTATGATTTTAGAGATATATTTCATAAGGCTATTGCTGCCATAGATAGTGATTTCTCTGATGGATCTGGGCAAAGTAAACTGAAAACCTTCTGAAAAGGATTCACTATTCTAGATGCCATGAAAAACACTCAGCATCATGAGAGAAAGTCAAAATATCAGCATTAATGGGATTTGGAAGAAGTTGATTTCAGCCCTCACAGATGACTGAGGGGTTCAAGACTTCAGTGGAAAAACAAGAAGTAGAATCAGAATTGGGGCCTGAAAATGTGACTGAATTTCTGCAACCTCATGGTAAAACCTGAATGCATGAAAAGTTGCTTATGGATGAGCTACGAAAGTGATTTCTTGAGATGGGAGATAATCCTGGTGAAGATGCTGTGAACACTGTTGAAATGACAAAAAAAGGATTAGATTACATAAGTTTAACTGATAAAGCAGTGGCAGGGTTTGAGAAAACTGACTCCAGTTTTGGAAGAAGCCCTAGTGTGGGTAAAATGCCATAAACAGCACTGCATGCTACAGATAATTCTTTCGTAAAACAAGGAGTCAAGTGGTGTAGCAAACTTCATTGCTGTCTTATTTTAACAAATGGCCACAGCTGGAGCTGGGCACAGTAGCTTGCACCTGTAATCTCAGCTACTCGGAAAGCTTAGGCAAAAGTATCACTTAAGGCCAGGAGTTTGAGAGCAGCCTGGGCAACATGGGAAGATTCCATTTTTAAAGCCATTAAATTAAAAAAAAAAAAAAAGCTGTCCCTGTAGTGCCAGCTACTCAGAATTTTGCTTGAGCCCAGGAGTCCAAGATTACAGTGAGCTATGAGAGTGCCACTGGATCCTGTTTCTAAAAAAAAGAAAAAAAGAAAAAAAATTGCCATAGCCACCCCAACATTCAGCAACCACCACCCTGATCTGTCAGCAGCCATCATCAACGTTGATGCAAGATCTTCCACCAAGAAAAAGATTACAACTCACTTAAGCTCTGATGACTATTAGCATCTTTTAGCAATAAAGTTTTAAATTAAGATATGTACATTTTTTAAACATAATGCTACTGCACCCTTAAGAGTTCAGTGTAAACATAACTTTTATATGCACTGGGAAACCAAAAAAATCGTGTGACTCTCTTTACCGAGATATTCGCTTTACTACAGTAGTGTGAAAATGAACCAACAATATTTCCAAAGTATGCCTGTATTTTTTATTTGTTCACAATTTTCTCTATCAGAATTTCTTGCATTTCCAACCTAAAAACACATTTTACTCTAGCAATACTCCTGTATTTTCATGCATATAAGTTTTAAAACAATTTTTAATGCTATCAATAAGAGCTAAAGACCCAAAGTTAGGTCGTTTTTCATCTAATCACATGGAATTAGTACTAGCAGTATCATATTGAATGTTATCAAACACAAGAGACAAGAGTCAAATTCTTAGAAAAGATTACCAGGATGTAAAAATACAAATGGTCAAGTAAACAGATTTCCTTAGTTCTGAAAATAAAGTAGAAGCAAAATCTAAGTAGAAACACAAATTTTAAGGCAGTGACATTAAAATTGTAAATTTTAAAAACTGGAAGAATGGCACACATTATCCAAGGAGATGTAATCTTCTATAATAGCAAGAATGTAAATTTTTGAAAGGTTTTAATATTCAAGATAGAAAAAAAAAAATCCCTCCTACTAATAAATGAAAGTTGAGTAGGAAAACTGAATTGCTACAGCTTTTTGACTTCTAAATTTTACTTATTTTTCTTCTACCCTTTCACGAGAGTGGTTCTCAACCAGAAGTTTTAAAGTCTTGCAAGCTCCAGGTCCAAATCCTCCTCTTAGAAGTTGTGTGACCTCAAGCAAATCATTTAAGCACTATGAAGCTGTACTTTCTCATCCATAAAACTGATACAGCAAGGCTGTTACTTGCTATTATGGGATAAAATAGAAGAGTATTCAAGAGGACTCTGTAAACTGTGAAGCATTATACAAATGTGACGTATAATTATTTACATTGCTCAGATCTATAAAAATTAGCCAAAAAGTGATCTAATGGAGACTACAATCTCTGCAAAATCTAGCACAGCCCACGTTTAAAATACATTCATGCATCACTTACTGACAGGGATACGTTCTAAGACATGTGTTAAGCAATTGAGTCTTTGTGGAATATCAGAGAGTATACTACACAAACCTGTGGGGAACATTCCCGTGTGAGACCCCCAAAAGGCGTGGGTCTCACTATACGGTGAGTTTGATCCCAAACAGTTTCCTACTGGAGGCAGTCGAGCTATCAGGAAAAGGAACTGAAAGATGGATGATCAGTTTCTAATATCAACCAGGATATTGTTTGGGCCTAAAACTATGCGGTGCTGCTAGACCGAGTGACTCCCTACCAGCAACCAGTTTCTGCTTTTAACTTTTTATGACTCTTTAAGAATAAGCTTTAAACTTTTCTTTACTTGCCTGACTGCCTTGTACCCTAGATAATAGTTTAACTGTGGGGATATCTGCAAAGCAAATGCCACCATACGGGATGGCTTTGATCCCTGACTCAGAGACTCCTGAATGGGGGAGTTGCGATAAGTTGAGTCAGAAGCAGACAAAGGAGAATCCAGTTAAAAGATATTTTGATGAGCAAAACCAGAAAACCTTTTCACATCTCAGTTCTAAAACAAGATCAAACCAGAAATACCTGCAGCCATGAGGAATAATGTCTGGATGTAAACAAGCTTTGTGATCACAGGAAATTCTG